AAAAAGTGAATAAGAGTTCCAGTCATCCTGGAAGCACTTGTATCTTTAATTTCACCTTAATCTTACGAGTAAGCCTCACGTCTTCATCGAATTCCACTTATCTTTGCTTGCCAAAAAGGTATTCTCGTTCTGGATAACGTGAATTTCTTTTTCAATCAATATTAAATATTTATTATGCATTAGTGATGCTAATTGAAAGAAAAGATTATTAATAAATATTCATCCTAGTTCGCATAAGTTGAAGAAAGACTGATCGTTAAATTTTTGAAAACTCGTATTATATTAAGATAACTTGAATACAAATCTTTTATAATCTTTTGTAATATACCTGCTGATCGCTGAATTTACTCCTCATTCGGTTTTTCAGTAAAGTCAGTTCACAAATTCCTTCCGAAACGAAAATCGTGTCACAACAGGACATTCTGATATTATCAGAAGCTACTCACATATAAAATAAGTAGCATCATGAGGACAATGGAAAATACGTGTTTGCGTAATCCATTAAAATTTTCTTTGAGAATCAAGGCTAAGATTAATTCAATGGTACAAAGGCCTACTCATGCAATATAGTCAAATTTAAGCTATCAGTTCTTCATCGCTTTATGAGGCTTAGATGGAATAAGGCTATTATTCAAGCTATGAATATAATCTCGAAAGAGATAAATATCAATAGGAACTACTAGTCCCTAGTAAAGTTGTCTATTTTACTTATTTTCATGGCTAGTAGGCTTTAAGATTATCAGTATTTATCATACGCGACCTAAAATGAATTGGAATATCGGTAACTACTCATATAGGAAATAAGTAACATCTTATATTACAGTGGAAAACACATGTTCGCCTACTCGACAATCCCACTAAAAAATACGTAATTAATAAATATTCACCCTAGTTCGCATAAGTTGACGAAAGACTGATTGTTAAATTTGTCCAAACTCTTATTATACCAAGAAAACTTGACTACAATCCTTTTATAATATTTTATTACTTCACTGCTGATCGCTGAATTTACTCCTCATTCGATTTCCAGTGAAGTCAGTTGACAAATTCCTTCGGAAACGAAAATCGTGTCCCAACAGGACATTAGCAAATCTCGACCAATGAATGGTACAGGTTTCTCGCAAACCGACCCTCATTCTCTCCACCTACCATAGGTCTTAGTGACCGCAGAGCATTGAGCTGCCACTCCGAAGCCATTGTGCGTCCTTCCGGCCAGCTGGAAGAGGTAGGCCGTGTTTGGCTGAAGCCCTTCGATCAGATGTTGAGTCGCCTCGGAGTTGAGTCCCGTCGTCTCCACCGCTTCCGTCAGGCCGGCCTCGATGCCGGTATCGCTCGACTGCCCGAGTCGTACCGGCCCGGCTTGCCTGGCCGAGGCCGAGGCCGAGTCGCTCGGCAGCCCAACCGTCGGTCGGTAGGTAAGTCGGTAGTCGAGCAGATGACTGCCCACCGGTACCGTGGGCGGATCCCAGACGAGGCGGACTCGCGTCGAGTCGGAAAGGATGGCCCGGAAGTTGTACGGTTGCGAAGGGACTGGCGTCAAGACCGAGACCAGCCGGAGTTGTGTGGATGGGCGATAGAGCGGCAGAGACGGGGGGAGGGGTAAATGAAAGTGTGGCGGAGAGAAGAAAGGGTTGAGTCTAAAAGACGCCCAAAATGTGAAGGTCTGAGGACAGAGAGAACAGGAAGACACAACTAAATGTACACACAATATACGCAAAAAAAAAAATTTAGGTTCCGAGGAATCTTTTGGTACATAATTGTTGGGCAAAATTACAACCCATCCAACCAAGTCATGTCAACCTCGAAGCATGTTAATGTGTGTGTGTGTGTGTGT